CGCGGTGTATTGGAACAACTATTCTCTGTCATTGTGACACGTGTCACGCATTGCACTCCGGAGAATGTATTTAAATTTAAATTGACAAAAGCGAGATGAAATTAGTATTAAAGTTAAATTGGTGAATGTTTTTTAGATATGAAAAACTCGCGTCACTTTACATTATACAAATCGTATCGCAGGCCTCCAAAACATTCACAGGGCCATTAATGGAAAAGTAATTTGAAGATTTTGGGATATTAACGAATGACTCGATCATTTTCAACAATTCGCAAACGGCTCGTAATTAATCAAGAATTTAACATTTCACATAGACTTGAAGCGTGTAATTTTCAAACTGATCTGTTCCCAAATAGATTTCAATCAGAAACGAGCGTCGGCCAGAGTGTTTTTTGAAATTGCTCTCGTCGAAAAGTCACCCCAATAATCGTTAGATCTGAAAATGGAAATATGTTTCCCATAGGGACAAATGAAATCATAAAATCCAATCGGCGTACAATTGTTTACTTGGCTAACGATACTCGCATGGAAGATAGGAACAGAATGAACAGAGTGGTGAATTTTCATGGCGGGGAAGAAAACAGTTGGCCGCCTCTGAGCCTAGATGACCATCGCGCGATATCCGATGGAGTTGTCTGATTTGTTTTCTTTGACGTTATCCTTTCCTTTCTCTCCCTACTTTATTTTCTTTCTCTGTTTGATTTTTTCAATCGAGAGATTGGACGTCGAACCGACACTGTTGAGAAAGGGGACGAGAAATAGAGCTTGCGCCTGCGCCGCCCTCTGCATATAGGTGTATACGCTACCTGGTGATGTGACGTCGTTGAACGAAGTCGGACTGCGCGAACGCTGCAAGAGAAAAATAAAAATAAAAAAAGAAAGAAAGAAAGAAAGAAACGTGGAACCTCGCTCTTCCAGTGTGTGAAACTGATCACCCTTCGACTGCCATTGTTACATTCGAGCCCGCTGTTTTCGTCGAGTCGACTCAGGCGACTAACGTGGTTAAGGATGGCGGGCGTAATTGTCTGTTGCTTCGCGAACGTTGCTCGGCTGCATGGAATTGCGAATCACCGACGGACGGGTCACCATGGTCAAGATCCTTTATACTCTTAGTTACGAAGTGACCAGCGTTTTCAGTTTTCACGCTTGGTGTGGAATTAATTATTGTAATAACGTTCGCGAACATTCGACGTGAGTTTACGAAACGGAGTATAAAGGATCGGAGGAGAGGATTCTACTGATAGTTTTACGATATCGTGGCATTATCGTTGCAACCCCACTTCCACACTCTTAACCCTCCTCCTTCCCATCCCCCCTATTCTTCCATCAGTCGCCAGTATCGAGTCTCCTCGAGAGCGAACGAAACGTTCTCCGACCGAGAACGAAAGAGGAAGAAGAAAAAGAGAAAAGATTTATTTCTACCCCCCTTCCTCCTCCTCCTCCTCCCTCCCCCACTCGTCTCATTGCGTCACGATTAACCCACGTATAATCATGAGACTGCTCTGACCAATACGAAACCGATCGTGTCGTCCAAGGCGATTGACTGACTGAATGACATTCTTGTTGGCCCTCTATAGACTATATAGTTCCTAGCACAACTTTTCAATCCCCGACTCGTGATGAAACACCCGCAACTAAGCTTAGCTACTAAGTTTCTCGCTTCGAGGAACGACTCGGACGAATGAAAATGAAGAAACGAAGACTTAACTCAGGCCTAAACTTACTTTACACGTAGCTTGAGGGAGAAACGACGACGACGGAGGAAAGGAAGAAAACCGAAAGAAAAAAAAAAAAGAAAAAAAAGAAACAGAAGAGAGAGAGAGAGAGAGAGAGAGAGACGAACGAAACGTAATTACATACCCTAGAGTTCAGACGAAATCTCACTTATAATCTAGCTGGGTAAATAAACGTAATCTTAAATGTTAAACGAAAAAAAAAAAAAAAAGAAATAAAAATAAAAAAATAAAGTTAGCCACACGGTGGACCTGTTACACGGCCCTCTGCGCTAGTTCAGGCCTAGCTTTAGACCTCCCACCCCCATGCCTCCCCCTGTAGGGGGAGGTTTACTATAGCGCTGATCTAACAGTTAAGAACCGTTAAAAACCTGCCGCCTGTGAACTGTGAAAGGGTTAACGAAAGAAGAAGAAAAAAAAAAAAAAAAAAACGAATCATACGATCAAGGGTTAACGGAGCAACGATTTCTTGGACCCGGTCCGTTTCCTGTTGGTCGTGATCACCGCTTGTAACCGCGTGCAACCATTATCTTCGCGTGGCGTATTCAACGTCGGTCACGGACTGAGGCTTGGTGCAGAATAGGATGTGTAAACGAACATTGTGTGTAAAATCTCTCCGGGTTCGTCGAATCCGGAATGCTATATGATAAAAAGGAGGAAAAAAATAAATAAATAAATAAATAACGTGTTTCGAGCGTCGCCCGGACGAATAAAAAGCAGTTACTATATATCAGCAGCTTTGTTCTGTTTTCTCTCTCTCTCTCTCTTTCTCTCTCTTCTTATCTCACCACCAACAATTCTCACTTATTATCCTCTCGTTAGTCGTGTCGCCACGACTTCCAACTCGGGGTTGGGACCTTCGATTTTCGCAAGCGATCGGTCATCCCGAGTCACAGTTCGATCGAAAGAAGAAAAGACAGAGGGGGAGACGAGAGGGTTTTAAAGTTGCTTCGTTCAACCGGAAGTTTTTCGAATTTTAGCTTGCCAGGCTGCGGATTGTCACGCGTTTGATGGAAAAACTTCAACCACGTACGAAAGTGTGCACGCAGCAAGTACGAATGTTCGGAACGATGTTCGAAAAAATACAATGGATAGTTACCTAAGCGTGTCTTTGTAAAAGAAAAAAGAAAAAAAAAAAAAAAAAATACGAATTCACATTGAAATCCGGTCGACAAATTGTTACAGCGTCGCGTGTAGTCAAACTGGAGGGTTAAATGTAGGTTATGTTCGAACGCGCGTCAGCGTTTCCCGCCATTTTCCCCCACCACCGAACGGATCCGCCCCAATAATCTACCAATTATTGTACGATGTTCGCGAAGAGTGTATGCTTCTTCTTTTTTTTTTTTTTTCTTTCTTTCTTTTTCTAGTCAAGTTACAAAATGTTATGTATCACAAGTAACATTTTACGTCGGACAGATTAATTTCTCCTCTCTTCTCTCCTTCTATCCTGTCATCCCTTTCCGTTTCGTTTCGTTTGATTGTTCGTGTCGTCGATTGCACGACTCGTCACGAAATTTCGCAAGATCAGTTGATCCGGAGGAAGATGTGT